ATCACTCAATTGTACAAGGATCAGATGTATGTGGTAAGCAAACATTAGGAAGATAATACAATTATTTTACAAAGTGTGCAAGGTAGAAATACCATTTATGGCTTCATAAGGAAAAATATATGACTAATATATTTTACCTATTTCATGGCATTTTCTTTGTAGTTGATAGAGTAAGAAGAGACCAGGGAGTCATTAACTTTCTTTTGGAAATCTATTTAAAAATCTGGTTGCCATGTATTGTTATGCAATCATGTATTTACACTCCATGTGTAGTCCTAAAACATATGCTGTTTACTTTTGCCTACTTATGCCTTCTGTATAAATGGAATTATATAACATTTGGGACTTGCTTTTTTCTAAGCTCAGCTTTATGTCTTTGGATTTTCAGCGTTGCATCAGCTGCAATTTATTCACTTTTAAAAATAGTTATCTTTTATATGAAGTTTTTCATTTGTCCTAATTTATTTATCCATAGTACAATTATTGACGGACATTTGGGTTTTTCCAGTATTTGCTCTCCTGAACGGTGCTGCCTCAGACACTCTTATACATGTCTCTGGATGCACATGTGCAGGATTTCTTTAGGGGGCATATCTGTCCAGTTGAAATTTGGTTCACATATATGTATAAAATAATTCAGAGTAGCTAATGACATCTCCTTATCGATAACTTAGAAGGCCTAATTGTTGAATGATTTTTTCTTACTAGTTAAAGTGAACAACTATTTACAGTTATGACCTTATGAAGAGAAAGATACGAGGGCTAATAGATTTTGTGTTAGTTGAGTTTCAGTGACAGATTGAGAGGTTTAGGGTGTCTCTGCAATTGCCTGTGGGGCTTACTCGCTGATTCAGACAGGGGCAAAACTAATGCAGCCCATTAAAAAGTGCACTGATACATTGGGAGAGATGCTACATAAAATACCGTTATTTAGAGCAGGCTGTCTTGGTCCTTTTTCGGATTTGATGTGTTTGGTATTTTTCTGAGACACATCTGGTTGGGGAATATTTCCTGCCCTTTCTGCCATCCATTACCAGATGGCCATTTGTCAGATCCAGTTATTTTTACTGTTTATGGCATCTACCCAGAACAACGTGATTAACATGGACTCAGTTATTCAAAAAGTGGCTCAGTCATTCACTCGGTTAATAATTCTTTAGCACCTTCCACGTTTGGGGCCTAATACTTAGATCCGGCCGTATTATGGTGAGCAGCACAGAACTGGGCTCATTCTCTTGGAATTTATGATTTATAGTGCTAGAGAAATATGCATAAATAAGAGATCTTGATGGAGTGTGAGAAGTTCTCTTGATAGTGGACGGCCTCGGGTGGGATGGCAGTGCAGAACAGGCACTCTGAATCCATTTCAGAAAGACTAGAGAGCCTTTAGAAAGTACAGATTCTTAAGCCTTATCCCCAGACATTGTGGTTGGAGTAAGTCTGGACCAAAGAAACTTCTTGTTGTTATTGTTATTATTATCTCCTAATAATAATAACAATAACAGCCAGGTAGCCACATTTGGGATACACTGTTGATGAGTCATTAAAAATGGGCAGTAATCACGACAAAGTTTCTAAATGACTTAGTCAGGGATGGAGTAGATAATTTTTGGATTTCTGCTCCCAGGCCAAAGGCAGATTTATATTTGTTCCTATTCAATTATAAATTCTTGTTTCATAGCCTGTAAAAGTTAACTGTCCCAGTGTTGGATGGGAAAGCCTGGCTTATCAGTAGCACACAGGAGAAGGATCTGACATCGTTTAGCTATTATAAGCCCAGTGGAAGTCAGAGGTGGGCTTGACGGGCCTGGAAGCTACTGCATCTTAGTATGTGTAACTGTGAGCTGAGTATCGGAAAGAAGGAGGTAAGAGTCCCCGGTCCCCTGCACACCTGGACTTCTGTGGATGGTCTCCAGGATCCCATTTAAGGGGGATGCTGGCACTTGGGTGTCTAAGAGGATGTTGAACTGCTTGGCAAATATCCTTAGGAGGAAGAACTGGAGAGAAATGGTCTTGTTCATCCCAGAAAAAGAAAGCTTAGAGCTATAGTTCCAGAAGAAAGAACTGGGACCAAAAAGGGAAAGTTATTTGGGAAGCAAGTCTCATTTATTCATTGACTCATGTATTTATTTAACAGATTTTTTTTTAGTATCTACTGTAACTCATTCAAGTGGATGCCAAGGATATAATGGTAAACAGGATGGATTCAGTTCCTGACTTCTGGGACCTAAGATTTGTCAGAGGATCAAACAGTTTAAGCACACAGTTACAAGAAACTATAAGTACTGTGACGGGAAGACAGGGTGCTGCTTCACCTTCATATAAAACACATTTCCAGTATTAGTACTGTCAGAAAGATGGCGAATGGTGAATACTCTGGCCCTGGAGATATTCAAGAAGAGTATTCTTGGAGATATTGTGGAAGTTGTGCTGACAACTACCATTAAAACCCTATTTAACTTTTAACATCAATGATCACATGTCTTTTTTTTTATTGAAGTATAGTCAGTTTACAATGTTGTGTCAATTTCTGGTGTACAGCACAGTGCTTCAGTCATACATAGACATACATATATTCGTTTTCATATTCTTTTTTATTATAGGTTACTACAAGGTGTTGAATATAGTTCCCTGTGCTGTACAGTATACTGCCTACTATATGTAAAATAGATAAACAGCATATATGTTTTTATAACAGATTTCACACTCCTTGTTTCTCTTTCCACTTTTTCTATCCTAACCTTCCCTTTCCTCTGTTTGCTCCAAACTCAGTTCCAGGTCTTTAAGTCTGCGTGATGAGATGATTTTCTTTGCAGTTTTCACAGACCTCTGTTTATAAGAAATAGGACAGATTCTTAGAACTGAAGTCACTCTTAATTATTATGTTTTTATCTGGGCTACCAGATAATTGAGGAGAGGCGCAAGTGTTTACATAAAAGCCCTGTGACCTGATTTTATGCCTTTAGTTTTCCCCGTTCCTCTCAGTGGCTAGCCCGAGCAGGTGGGGACTCTCGGGGGGCCTGCATTTCTGTGGGGATGGGCAGGCACAAAGAGTAGGTAAAAATGTCAATGCCACTTACTGTATAATTGTTACGTGCTCTAAATGAGACTGTGGCTTTCTTGTGACCATCATGTTTTGAATTCTTAACATCATGTCTTTTTTTTAAACTTTTTAAATTGAAATGTAGTCAGTTGACAATGTGTCAATTTCCGTTGTACAGCACATTGCTTCAGTCATACATGCACATTTATGTATTTGTTTTCATATTCTTTTTCACCGTGAGCTGCTACAAGATATCGAATATAGTTCCCTGTGCTATGCAGTGTAAACTTGTTTATCTATTTTATATATACCAGTCAGTATCTGCGAAACACCGTATCTTAACTGATTAGAAAAGCTGACCTTTCCCTCAGAGCATTTTAAAAAAAATTTAAATACTACGTTGTGACAATCTCAGGACTGAGTCTTTCACGTTCAGTGTTAGAGCCTGAAGTTGGATGTTTTGAAGGCTGGTGTTTGCTTTCTCTTGACCCAATGTGATTTCCCGTTTCTAAGAAAACAGTTTTAAACACTCTTAAAAGGAATTTCTTGCATGCTTGGCAGCTCCTGTAAAACCACTTTTTAGTAAACCAGTGTGAATGAAGTATATATAAAAAAAAATCAAAGAAAGTACCATATTGCTTGACCAAAGTAGCATTTTGTTTTGTGGAAATTGGATCCACCAGACAGAAAAGTCTGGTGATTTAGGATGTGTTTGCTGTTGTAACGAGATGAACCAGAAACCAAAAGTTTTCATTTTGGTTAATCATCCTAGTTCAAGAGGACAGTTGATCACAAATTGCAGTTTACTTTGTGCTGGAATTGATGCATACTCGTGAGTCTGGTTAACAGCATTTTTTAAAAAGAAACAAAATTGCAACTTGGGCATCTCTCCAAATGAATTCACAAATTTAGAATTAATTCACATGCATTCTTGCAATATTCCGGAGGAGACCCCAGTTACTGCCATCGCTTAGTCAATGGAGAAAATGAACGTTAGTGAGTCTTCGGCTCTCTGAGCAGGAGATTCATGTCTCCTGGCTCTCAGATCAGAGATTCGGCTTCTCTCAGAATTGTCCTAGAAATGGGCTTCTTATAAAAATTTTAATAGGTATTGAACATGTTTTTGTGACTACGAAGGTATTTTATTCCTTTGAGTCATGTTTGTTGAGTGCCCACTCTGTGTCACGCATCCTTCAAGAGACAGACACGTGGTGAGGAATAAGGCAGGCAAAGTCCCTGATTTTATTTATCTATTAGAACTTATTTCAGGGCTTACTCTGTGCCGGAAACTGTACCGGGTACTTTACAGATGGTAAGTCACTGAAACCTCCTACCAGTGCGGTGAGGTAGGCACTCTCATCCTTGTTCTGCAGAAGGTGGGAAGGAGGGTCGGCGTCACCTGGCTGGGAGGTGGCCGGGCCAGGATGAGCCCCGAGTGTACGGTCACTCTAGGCCTGATTTTGTAAATTTACACATTCTTCGTAAAAACAAGACAAAACAAAACAAATGCGTGCACACACACAAGAAAATAAAAGCTACAGGCAGTCTGACTACTGTTAATGTTTTGGAGTCTCTGTTCCAGCTCGCATATGTGTGTGTGCACGTGTGTGTGTGTGCGTGTGTGCGTGTGTTTAAATGTATATGATATCTTATTGATCTGTCACCACTTCTTTTCACAACATGTGAGAAATGTTTTGCAGGCCGTGCGTTTGAAAAATACGAGCGTAACTAGCTGAGCAGTGTTCCGTGGTTTGTCTGTATCATGATCTACGAGGATTTATCTAACCAGTTTCCTACCACTTAACAATGTTTCTTAATTTTGAATTGCATAAACCCTGCTTTAATTAATGCCTGGATCACCAAATCATTTTACAAATCTATGAGCATTAAAACATTTCTGAGCGAAGAATGGTATTAAAACTCTTTGGAAATATTTATGCAATATCCACGTGGGGTCTGTGCTCTGTGAACAGGATGATGTTAACAGCATGCTTTTCCCTTCTAGGCTAGTGGATGACAGATGTGTTGTAAACCCAGAGGCGGGGGACCTCGCCAACCCTCCGAAGAAGTTCAGAGGTAAGAAATATGTATTTTTTTTTTGCCATGTGACCTAAAGGGGGGGTGTTATTTTTGTGTCTTATAATAAGTAATGTTAGAGCTTTATTCACTGTAAAACTTTCAAATAGAAATGTATCCACTGAATTTTTTTCCCCCCAAATTTCCCATTATTTTTTCTTCTTTTACACATTGAAGGACTGATATTGAAAGAATAGTTCCAAGTTTTGTTTTGCTGGTCTGTGTGTTCAAAGGACATCTTGGTAAATAGCTGTGAGAGGCCACTTTGCAAACCAGTAATTACAGCTGAATGATAAGTATTTATGTATTTTTGTGACAGTGGTACAATAAATGTTAGTGTTTCATTATTAGTTATTTAAGTTGTCTGTAAAATCTTAAGAACGGTGACATCGATGTGTTTGCTTAGTTTTTAAAATGTCATTTTGGATGGTGTCTAATGACTAGCAATTTCTTAGAGCTCCTTTCTAGGTATCATCGTAGAGGTACCTTCATAAATATCAGCTAAGAAATTGTTCATAGTAGGAGACATTATAACTCGACTGTTACCGAGAGAAGGGTTAATGGGATTTGCAGAGAATCATAGTCAACTAAAACCAGTAATTAAGAGCGTGTGCAAATCAGTTTCATAGTTTGTGTGGACTTATAATAAGAACAACTTTAAGACAGCATTCATTTTGAACACACTGTGTAAGCTTACATTCCTGCTTACACGGTAGTGAAAAGCAGCTTTAATAAGAGATACAGATCTGGAGAGAGTGGAAAGGATTCCCCTGGCCCCAAGGCCAAGTCAGGATGTGCTCTGCCTGCACGGGGGAAGGGAGATGTTTAACATGTGGTAAATGGTTTCCATGTTTCACTTTCTGTGATGGGCACATTCTACACAAGTCTTTTTATAAGACTATCTTACGTATGGCATTTGCGGTAAACTTAGAATCTTACAGAAAGCGTGCCAAGCCCAATAAATACCCTTTGGGTAAACTTGGCCACTTTGAATAAGTGGTCCAGGTGTCTCCCCAGGTAGAGGAATTAACATCGAGCAGGCGGTGGGGGACAGACTGCCCTTTAGAAGCACTTGTAAGAGTGCTCAGTGGGGACATTCCCCTAACCCAGTATTCCCACCGCACACAGTCCCCACGGCGGGTGGACTCACAATAAAACTCCATGAAGGAGAGCCAGCAGTTGTGACAAACAGACAAGCAGTGCTCCAGGACAGGGGACTGTGGGTAAGGGTGTGGAAATGATTTCAGAGACAGAAGAGGCCAGATGGGCCCTAATGGAAGAACGGAAAATATGAAAAAGAGCATACAGGTTCTAAAAAGCATGACCTGGCATATTATATAAAGATGAGGAAACAGGTATCGCTTTGGAAAAGAGAGCTGAGATTACCCAGAACGCAGCGCAGAGGAAATGAATGAGTCATAAAAAGCGTGGAGGCTGGACTGAGAAGGTCCGGGAGCATCTCGTCCCCTTCCAGGAGGCGAGGCTGGTGCGCACGAGAATGAGGCAACGTGGGAAGAGATACGGGCGAGAACTTCCCGAAGCTGAAGAAACCCACTGCTCCTCAGGTGGGAGGGGCACCCTGAGTTCAGAGTCGTGATGATAAACAAAACCAGGTCCACAGACACTCTTTTGTGAACTGCAGCTTGTTAAAGATAAAAAGCAAAGTTTTAAAACACAAACTGGGACAACAAATCTGCATTTGTAGCAGACAGAAGCTTGGGGTTCGGGTTTTGACTGTGCCGCTCGCTGGCTGTGTCATCTTAAGTAGGTCACCCAACGACTTTGTGCCTCGGAAGACATCTGTCGTTGGCTGGTGGGAGCCAGGGTGGATGAGAGCAAGAACAATCCCACCACACAATGCTTTGTGAGGCTTGAAATCTTTCCAGAGCATAAATGTAAAAGTGTTTTAAGCCATTATACAAATGGCAGCTAACTTACCACAGAAAGGCATAATGTGTTTCCTTTAAATGTATTTGGCTCTGTTACATTATAACCTCTACAAGGGCAGGATTTTATCCTTTTTCTTTTTGTGCTTTACAAGCATAGAGCTTTGCCCACCATAGACATCCAAAAAAAAAAAAAAAGGCCGTTAGATGCTTGTAGGCGAGAGACCCAGACTTTCCTGGGATCATGTGATACAGCGTGGCTCCCAGGGGTGCTCCATGCTTCACTGCCGTGAGCTTGGGTAGTTTTATTCCTCTGTCAGTCCAGGGAGGTTGATCTGTCAAAGATAAACCTTCAAGGTTTGTGGCTGCCTTTTTTTCTTTTCCTCTTTCCCAGTGAAGGGGATTTGTTTTAAGTGCAAAGACTATTTCAGTGTATCCGAGGGCGCCCTGGGGTACCAGCTCTGGACCCAGTAGGTCACTATACACAGATACTCAGTGTCCTCTGATTCAGCGGGCACCGGTTTAATGTATGAGTCACTCAGGTGCTCCGTCCACCCCTGGGAGGCTGGCTTTTCCTGTAATCTAATACTTCAGGTCATTGTCCTGGCCCGTTTGCTCTCATTTTCTACCTGTAGCTTAAGCCTAAATCACGTGTCTCACTCCGCTCATCTTTGGAGAAGGAGGGTATTTTTCTGTTGGCGATTCAAGGTTCCCTTTTATCTTAAAGCTCTGACTCTCATCGTCTGATTCTTGGAAGCTCATCCTGACGGAGGAGCCCCCAGAGGAGAGTTCCCCGGGCTTGTCTCTGCCCTGGCCTTCACAGTACTCAGCAGCCCTGAGCAGATTGCGTGGTCCTAGATGCCACATCCTTTCACCTACCTTGTCCTTTCTGCAGCTTCGCCCTTCTCTGCCTGGGTGTATTTCTCCTGTACCTTTTGGCTGTAAAAGTCATCGCTTTTTCATAGATTTGCCTCCCAGAATCACCACGCCTATATTTCCAGACTCCTTTGGCAAGTGTCCAGAGCCCCCTCCCTTCATGTTACTTTTTAGGTAACACGAAGACACAATAGCCATCTATCTGCAATAGTTCAGCTGCACCTTGGTCCCTCTTGCCTCAGCCAGACAAACGATGTTCTCAAAGTACTTTGAAAAGTATTTTATTTTTCATACTCACTCCATGGTTTGTTCAACTGAATCATCAAATTTTAGGGCTTCTAGGCAATTCAAAGTAAATCTAATACAGCTCCCCCAACGTTTTGAATGAGGAGCCAAAGTTCTAAAGGGGTTAACAAGACTAACCAATAGACACAATTGTGCAAGAAATGTTCCTTTGATCGTGTCACACTGCCTCTCATGTGAATAGAGGAAATGAAGTTTTAACAAATGAACAACTTCCCAAGGGTTATTTACAGCCTGGCAGATGGACAGCCATTTTTCAGTGGAAACCACACAGTCATAATAGTATTAACATAAGCACAGTGGCTTTAAGTGAGTGCAAAAACTTTTTCATGATCAAATATTCTATAATTTTTAAAGATAAACTTTAAACTTTGGAATCTGTTTAGATGTAACGCAGTATAGAGAGCTCCCTTCCACCCAGTTTCATCATGTTATTGTCTTACGTAACTGTGGTACGTTTGTCAAAACTAAGAAATTACCGTTTACCATTACTGTTGACTCAATTCCAGGCTTCCTTCGGATGCCACCCGTTTTCCACTGATGTCCTATCTCCAGTCCTGATCCCACCCAGGACCCCATGTTAGTCATCATGGCTCCTCAGCCGTCTCTGGCCTTTGACACTTTCTCAGTCGTTCATTGCTTTTTGGTAACTTTGATTCTTGGAAGAGTAATGGCCAGTATTTTGTAGAATGTTCGTTGGTCTGGCTCTGGTTGGTGTTTTGGCCATGATTAGACTGGGACTAAGGTTTTGAGAAGGAGGCTGACGGCCCTTCTCCTTGCTTCATATCAGGGGTGCATATTATCAACACGAGGTGTCACTGGTCCTATTTTTTGATATACAGTTAACCCTCCTCCTTCACACTAAATGGTAGGAGTTATTTTTGTTGACTTTATATTTTCTGTTTTTTTTTTCTTTCCTAGTCTCTTTGTGCACTTTCCCCCTCATCTCTAGAAAACTCTTCTCGGGCACAGATTTTTTTCCAAAAGTTTGTGCCTACCGATACGTGTGCCTTTTCTGTTAGGAGGAGAGACATATCTAAATCAAAACAAGAGAGGTTTGTGTGTCCTTTTATCCCCATCAGGGTGATAAAACAGAAGTAATGAAGATCCCAAGGAGCCACTCCCCCGGCGGGACGAGGGAAGGGAAAACAGCCCCTTCTCCTGGCTGGCTAGTCGGTCCCGCAGCCTCGGACCGTTTGGTCTTGAAATTTCCAGCTCTGAGATTCTGTGGTCATTTGACACATGTGACTGTTTCGTAATCCATCCAGCCTACCAAGTGGCTGCTTCTGGAAGCGAGAAGTTGCTCTGAAGCAGTAAGTTAGACTGCTTCAGGAACTGGAACTAAAACTGAGACTGTTTCTGCTGGGCAGTGGCACACGAGAATCAGCCAAAGTGAAAATCAGGGACTTCGGGGAACACTTACAAGGTCATTTCTTTAACTCAGTTCCTTCTCTTCATGTAACTCACTTTTAAGGGAAGTTATTTTTAAGGCGGACACTCTCACTGTTTAGGATTCGGTTGTACACTTAAGAGCGTAAGTGAAAAAGCCATCTAGCCAGCCTTGACTTTTTATGTGGTTGAACATGCCAGTCTTGTTTAACGCAGTAATTCACCAGTGTGAGCCAATTATAAATACTCTTGTCTACAAATCTGACAATTGCCTTATTGAATTTATTCAGCTTTGGTGTTCGTGCAATTTTTTTTTTTTTGGATGCAGACAGACTGTTTCAGATTTGAAACAACTAACATTTATCGAGCATTTAACACACGCAGTGCCGTGCTTGGGGCTTTCTGTGTGTTAATATTTAGTCATCTCAGTAATCCTATAAAGTAGAAATTTTTGTTATCCCGCTCTTGCAGTTGAAAGAATTAAGTATAAAGAAGTCATACAACCGTTTTAAAGTCGCCAAACCTACTAGCGGTAGAGCTGGGGCT